CAGACCCATAACACGGTGGTAACAGAAAAGTAAAATTCAAATAAAGCTGAAGAAATACTTCTAGAAACGACCTATCACACAAAAGGAACAACATTTTGAAGTATTACTCGAGTAGAAAAAGCTAGCGATCATTTTGCACCTCCGAAATTGAGCAGTGAATTCATACGGTTAATCAGGACCCGGACCGGAACCGATATGGACCCAAAACTGGAACGGAACCGTTTGTCTTGGACCGGAACCGTAACGGAACCCATATTTGATATTAACACACTGTTAGGTGCTGAATCGGAACCGAAATATTTTATTTCGGTTTTTTCGGTGTTTTTTCGGTTCTGCTAGTAACGTTTGAAAGAAATTACTGTACATTTTACAAGCAAATGAAAAAAAAACCTTGCTGGGATATTTTTGGATCCTCGGTATAAGGTAATTTTAGATGACAATCAAGTTGAAAGAGCAAAAGCACATTTAAAGTCTTTATGGACTGGACTGATATACTTAAAAGAGTGCAATTCTTCTAATTCTAAATATGACTCTGACCAACACGATATGGAAACTGAATTATCTAATTCATCAAGCGATGAAATGGAAGTCTTTTTGAGACATAAAGCTTCACAGCAACAATTTTTAAAAGGAATTAATCAGCACGAATTTTCTTCACAAGGTTCATTTGTAGCTCTTAGCAAAATTGTAAATATTTTAAATTCCTATAAAGTGGAACAAAGCCGCATATGCTTACGGCAAAATGAAACGATTTTTGATTGCTGGAAGAAAAAGAAAGAACTTAATCCCGAGTTATACATCTTTGCTCAAGTATATCAAGTTAGTGTTGGGAGGTTATTCTCAGGACTCAAATTTTTGTTGCCGCATTCGAGGTCAAACATTAAAGAAAACATTTTAGAGGAACTATTATTTGTGAGAACCAATCGACTTTTCAATCGAAAAGAACAAACACCGTACGTTTATACACTATTTTTAAAATTCTTTTTTAAGTTGAATTATTTTAGTTTTTCAATCACCGACAAAGAAACATTTGAAACTGAAATGTTGGACAAAAGCAACTCCTCAAAAAATGGTGAAGACATGAACCAAGAAGGACAGCGTTTAAATGGAAATAAGAGTGAAAGAAGAGGAATTGACGAAGTTGTGAACTTGAGTGAAAACGGAAGGAAGAGAAAAGCGCTAAAGTCAGAAAATTTAGTGACAAATTACTTTTCAAAAATACGATTAAATTAATTTTTGTATGGGAGTCTTTATTGCATTGTTGTTCCATTTAATGTTACCTGAATTTCAATTCTTGTGTGGGGTTGCTAGTCGTCCTACATTCCTACCCCCTACCATACAACCAGCCGAAGTATCATATGAAGCAGTGGATAGTTTACGCATCTTTTATCTTGTATAATACAACAAGCCAGGAAAAAGATAGTGAGATTCCTAATTAGAGTATCTTTGTCCTCGTTCGTTGTTATATATAGATTTTGGAACCGAAATAAATCGAAAAAAAAACGGAACCGGAACGGAACCGAATTGGAAATTATTTTCTAAACCGGAACCGTAACGAAACCGAAATTTTAAATTTGGCCTTGGACCGAAACCGGAACGGAACAGTTATTTCGTTTCGGTCCGGGTCCTTGCGATTAATATTCAAAATTCCTTCATATCTAATACTTCTTCATTTCATCAAAACGTATTAAGTTTTGATGCTCATTTATTTAAGCCCAGAAAGCTGAATAAATAATGCTAAAATTGCTTATGCATGTCGCCCGGTAAATCGAAAATGCATCTTTTAATTGTTTATTACGTGTTAATGCGTCGCGCTGTTGGTTATCCACCGAAATTGTGTAATAATAATTATTATATCCATTGAACGGACTAGTGTCTATATTGATTTCGACACAGATCCGAATTAATCGGGCACGATGCGTGTTTATTGCAATTTTGTTGCTCCCAAATTGTCGTCTGTTTATTATTTTCAACGCGACAGGCTTAAATATAAACGAGTAAAAGTGCAACTCGAAGTAATTACTGAAGAAAGGTTTGGGTGTTAGATATTTTGGACATTCGATAAAAACTGATGGCTATAGATAAATTGTCCCAAAGTAGTCACGTGATCGCATACAACACCAGACGGTAGTTAAAAATGTTCGCTATTAGATGTCTCGCAATGAAATTCCCCAAATTTGTAAAACTTTCCTTTAATATGTTTAACATTTTTTAGATTGTCGATGTTCAACAGAACGAACATAATCAACACGCTTGTTATGCATCGGTGCACTTTTCAGCTTTGGTTAAAATGGGTTTTGTTAATTAGAGTAGGCATCGAAACAATAACTTTTCAACTAAATGTTTCGTTTGTATTGGTCATATACCAGGTTTAATTAAGAGTCAAGCAAATTTAAATAACCATTGTTAGTTGAGGTGGTTTTTGTATTGTGTAAATAGGTTTTTTTTGTTTTTCCATTCGCGAGATCAAAAGTCCAGACCCCTGATGGCTAAAATTATAATTACAAGTTAAGTAGTTATTGTGACAGTTGTTTCGTTGACATTGGTGTCACATTGGTGTTTCCGTCTGATTGTGATTGGTTTTCTTTTGTTCTAATCAACTTTTGCAAGCTTAGAGAAATAGAAACCTTTCGAAAAGTGTGTAGGTATTGGTTTATGTTATAAATGTTATCAACTCCAATAAATAAACA